CTTACTAAGCATAATCATCATCTTCATCAACACCATCATCTTCCCACTCATCATCATCATCATCATCATCATCATCATCATCATCATCATCATCATCATCATCATCATCCTGATTATAATCCGAGGAGGAACGAGGAGGAGGAACGAGGAGGAGGAGGAGGAGGAGGAGGGAGGAGGAGGAGGAGGAGGCGGAGGCGGAGGAGGACTAGGAGGAAGAGGAAGGGGAGGCGGAGGAGACTAGGAGGAAGAGGGGGAGGGAGGACTAGGAGAACCATGGGCGTCGGGGCCAGTGAGGGAGGGAGGGAGGAGAGGGAGGAGAGGGAGGGAGGGAGGATCGGAACGGAGGAGGGGGGAGGAGGAAGAGGAGGAGGAGGAGGAGGAGGAGGAGGCGGAGGCGGAGGAGGACTAGGAGGAAGAGGAAGGGGAGGACTAGGAGGAAGAGGAGAGAGAATTTCGAAGGATTACCCATTGGACAACCACGACAACGCCGGGCCGATAAACCGATCAACCAATAAACCGATAAACCGAAACATCCGATATACCGATAAACTGATAAACCGATAAACTATTTCGGATAAACCGATAAACTGATAAACCGATAAACCGATAAACCGATAAACTGATAAACCGATAAACTGATAAACTGTGCTGAGATTCGGGCACGCATGCGATGAGTCGGTTTAGTGGTTGATCGGTTTATCGGCAGATCGACCGATAAACCGATATAATCATATCGGTTTATCGGTCGATCTGCCGATAAACCGATCAACCGAAATAGTTTATCGGTTTATCGGTTTATCGGTTTTGTGTTCGTGTCCTGCGGCTGCAATCCAAAATTCGGAACACGAACCGAAAGTTCGAGGCCTTCCGTCCCAGGAGGCACCAAGACGGCCCCCAAGAGGCCCCCAGACTGCCTCCAAGGCACTCGAACAGCCCCCCACGAGGCCTCCAAGAGGCCGCCGAGAGGCCCATGAGAGGCCGCCGGGAGGGCGTCGAGACGGCCCGAGAAGTCCCCGGGACGGCCCAAGAGGCCTCCAAGACTGCCCAAGAGGGTACCAAGAACGCTCTAAGAGGAGCCCCAGTGAGGCAACACGAACCAACATGGCGAGCTCATCGCCCCAAAACGCCCACGGGAGGCCCGAGAGGCCCCCAAGAATCCCCCAAGATGCCCCCAAACCCCTCAAGAGGCCCCGAGGAAGCCTCCAGAGGCTTCCATGAAGCTCACAAGGCCCCCAAGGCTTCAAAACCGCTCCGGAGAGGCATCCCCGAAAGCCTACCGAAGAGACCCCAGGAAGCATCCACGAGGCCGCTGGCCCACCCCCAAGCATGGCGGCGGGATGGGCCGGAGGCCATTCGATCCGCCGCCCCTGTGGTTAGCCGCAGGGGTGCACGGCGAGCCAAACGTCTGTCACATGTTGTCCACCAGACTTGGGCGTAGGTGGTTAAACGAGTCATGTCTTCTCTCTGCCAAATCTCCCTCCTTCCCCTGCTCGGGGAAGGGGTTCATCACTCCCCCTGCCCCCTCCCTGGGCCTGCACGGGGCGCCCCGCGAGGAGTTAGAGCGTCCAGGGTGGCCCAAGAACGCAACATGGCATGCAAGATTGCTACAGATAGCTCAAGATGTGCCAAAGTAGCCGGCTTCCAAGGCGGCGGCTCCCACGGAGGCAGCTACCAAGGAGGCGGCTCCCAGGGCGGCGGTTCCCACCAGGGCAATTCACACGGCAGCGACTCCCACGGCGGCGACTCCCCCGGAGGCGGGTCCCACGGCGGCGGCCCCCACGGCTGCTCCCGTGGAGGTGGCTCCCACGGTGGCGCTTCCCACAATTCTCACGGCGGCGGCTCCCGCCGCGGCGACTCCTCGAGGCGGACCCCCCAGCAACTCCCACGGCTGCGGCTCCCGCGACGACGGGTTCCACGCGGAGACGACTACCACAGCGGCAGATTCCACGGTGGCGGCCCCCGCAGAAGCGGGTCCCACGGCGGCGGCTCCCATGGCGGCGGTTCTCACGGCGGTTCCCACGGCGGCGGCTCCCACGGAGGCGGTTCCCACGGCGGCGGTTCCCTCGGGAACCTCCCACGGCGGCGTTCCCATGGGGAAGCGCAAAGCGGCACGAACTGTACGACGACCAGAGAGCGCTCGACCAAGCGGAGGAAAGACGGCTCCCTCAGGCGGTGGTTCCCTCGCTGCGGTTCCCACTTTTGGGCGATGGCGCCCATGGACCGTATTCGCTTCGATTCTTCCAGGCCTGAGGTGCCTGGGACAGGTCGCTCCTGTCTCACTCGCAGGCGCTGCTGCACGCGGCGGGTTGCAGCAACACTCGCCGCAGTGCACTGCGAGGTCCATGCTGGTGCTGCTCACCAGCGTGGTCGGTTCCCCGCCCATCAGAATCACCACCATCATCATCATCATCATCATCATCATCATCATCATCAGCAGCAGCAGCAGCAGCATCATCAGCATCATCATCATCATCATCATCATCATCATCATCATCATCATCATCATCATCATCATCATCATCATCATCATCATCATCATCATCATCATAATCATCATCATCATCATCATCACAAGCAGCATTCGCATCATCAGCAGCAGCACGATCAGCAACATCAACACCACCATCATCAGCATCATCACATCATCAGCACCAACATCATCGCCATCAGCATCACCAGATTCGTCATCATCATCACCATCATCAACATCGTCATCGTCATTGTCATCGTCATCACCATCATCATCATCATCATAATCATCATCAACCTCATCATCATCATCATCATCACCATCATCATCATCATCATCATCATCATCATCATCATCATCATCATCATCATCACACCGTCATCGAAAAAACGAAACCGCCACTTTGGGGCATGAGGCATAACCAAACGGGTCCTGCAAGAAACGGGCCCTGGAACCTGCGGCACTCCCCCCCCCCCCCAGGACCGCCTCACTCGCGGCCTGACCGCCCCGGGGCACGTGGAGGCCCCGAGAGCCCGCAGACGGGGAGAAGTCCTGAATCCCCCGCTTCCCCAGAACGGGTGTCCTTTCATGCATACCGCGGACGCGTGCGGAACCACGAGGCGCCCAACAGGCAACCCCCCAAGCGAAGACCCGGCGCACCCATCCACCGCACGGGGCACCCACGAGGCGCCCTCGGGCGCCCAACAGGCAAAACCTCCGCCGTACCCACTCCTCCTCCTGCCCCCCCCCTCCCCCGTCCACCCTTGATCCAGGCAAGCACGGCCAAACCTCCCCGCTGCGTCCAGCGGCCGTCTTGCCTCTGGTATCCGATCTCCGCCCCCCTTCCTCCACCCGCCACACCTTTTCAACGTCACCCCTCCCCCCCTTTACCATCCTTCGCATATCTCGGGGTGACCCAAAAGGGGGTCCAGCTGAAAGGGGGTGGTGCCATAGATTTGGGGCAATTGTATTGCAAATGTATTGCGCAGGAGAATTCTGTTGCATTGTGTTGCAAGTAATGTACTGCACGCGAAAGTCCAGCAATAGATTTGCGACCCAGAATGTATTGCACGCCCCAAATGTATTGCAATCCCACCAGTCTATTGCACCAAATCTACTGCACCACCCCATTGTCGCTGGATCCCCTTTTGGGTCAACCCGAATATCGGCCTCCCTCCACCTACATCGTCCTCTTTCTCTCTTCCGGGTCCTCCTCGTTGGCCTGACCCCCTCTCAGCATGATCATCAGCCTCCGCCCCTGTCTGCGCAGACCTCCGCCCAGCAGCTCTTCCGCCCACTCCTGCGCTCTCCGATCCTGCCGCTGTGTCCTCCTCCTCCTCCCCCTCCTTCTGCTCCTCTGGCTGGCTTCTCTCCTGGCCTCCGCGGCCTCCCCTCCCCTGCTCCGGGTACGCGCGGGCGGGCTGGCAAACCCATATTCAATGTGTGAAGCATCGTCGTCGGCGTTCCCTCCCACGTGCCTCCTCCCCGCCCGTCGACCGAACGCTCCGCCCAGGAGAGGTCTGTGCGAAGCAGGAATCGAGGACATGGTTTCGCACCGAACCATTACCAAAACGATCCTGCAACAAAAACGCCCTGGCGGGAAGATGAGCTGGGAAGGCGCATGAGCAAGACAGGGACGCTGGAACGGAGGCTTCCAAACACATAAGAGGCACTGAAGGAAACGTACTGCGATTGCCCAGAAGGACGAGGAATGTGTGTGTGATAGCGCGCGTGTTGAACATCGGACTCACATGGCGTACAATCACAAGCACAGGAGAGCACATAGTGAGGAACATCTCGCAGATATTCAAAGTCAGCGACCACGAGAAGGCACGAGAAAAGAAAGAAAGGACACAATGCAGACATTCCATCCCACATTCGCGGTTTCCGAACGATCATCGGGGTGCTTTGAGGGACAAGAAACCGAATGCAAACGTGGCATGTGCTGCTTTCACCCCAAACCGCATCCAAGACCGATCCAAGACCGTGTGAGAACGCTACTACACGATGCATTCCCCACACCACGCGTGCTCCCTGGTGCCACTTCTCACACAACCTGAGAATTCATGTACGTAGACGCCCTTTTTCCGCGCCTGATTCGTGGCGGAATCTCGCAGAGGAAGCAGAACGTCAGACACATCAAAGTTCGGAGGTCGGCACGGACCTCGGAACATGTATGTCTGTGGCTTGGGCTGGGAACCGCCCATGTATACACTGCGGTACCAGGGCCCTGTCCCACAGGGCTCTGCAACGCACGCCACTGCACAACGGACACCATCTCCTGTGCCCGGGTGTTTGTTCCTAGAGAGTCGGGGGCGACCAAGAGGGGGACGTCTAAGAGGGGGGGTGCAAATCATGACCGGCGGCATGTGCGCGGCCCAGCGGGGGGGCCAGGGACGTAATGAAATAAGAAGGGGCGCCATGAAGTCTGGGGAAATACCATGGCCCCCGCCATGAGATCCCCCCCCCCCAATCATCACCACTCTCTCTGCCGCCCCCGATTGGAGAGCACCGCCCCCGCCCCGCTCGCCTTCCGGAACTTCCCCCACATTGCGATGTACTGGAAAATGCGGGGCTCCATGAGGAGCCCGCGCCAGCCCACGAGCTCGAAGAGCAGCGTGTTGCTGCCGTGCTCCCCGTCCTGCGCGCTTAGGGTGTCTGGTCCGTCGCTTCGCGACTCCCCCGGAAGCTCGGAATCGCATGCAGTCGGGCCGCTGACCGAAGGAACGATGAATAAGGAACGGGGCCCCTTTTTACAAACAAATACGTGAAGTCCGAAGGAAGGCTCGCCGCCAAAACTAAGCGGAGCGCACGCAAACCTAAGAAACGACCGAGCCCCTTTTCGAAAAGTAAGCGCTCCTTATTCAGCGGCACGACTGTAATTGTACACAGTCGAGGTTAACTGGAGAGGACACGCGAGAGGACACAAGGTCCTTCCGAGGGCCAAAGTGCCATAGGAATGTAGAAGACATGGGTCGGCAAATGCAGGACGCAAGAGCAGCCTTCGTTTGGCAGGGTTGACCTACCAATCCGCCTCGACTGTAAACACAACGCCACGTACCACTTGCGCCACCGCGTGGGCCAGGGACACAAAGGCGGGTGGTGCCTCCCAGAGTGCACGGCAGCGCCTCGGCCTCGAAGCGGCGTTTGCCAACTGGGATCCACCGCGGCCCCACGACTCGGACGAGGACGGAGGACGAAAACGGAAGACAAGCGGGGAGGAGGAGGCGGAGGAGGAAGGGGGAGGAGGAGGAGCAGGCGGAGGAGGAGGAGGAGCAGGAGGAAGAGGAGGGACGAGTTTGATCCCCCGAGGAGGACGAACACGGAGGACAAGCGGAGGATGGCGCGCGCCCGAGGCCTCTCGTGAGCAGCGGAGAGGGGGCCAATGGCTTTGAGACGCCTGCCGCCCTGGGGTCCGCTCGGATTCCTCGGGTCGGCGTTGGAACACCCTGGCAGCGCCTCCGGCGAGGCCCCTGGCGCGCTCACAGCGCCAAGGAGAGGTTGTTGCGCCGATCCATGACATTCGCGCGGACCCCCAGCATGCAGTCAACCCGTGTAAGAAGGACGCACGGCAAGGATGCACGGGCCTTGGAAGGACACGTCGACACTCTGCGTGCAAGAATTGGGCCGAAGGCGAAGGATGCAAGGGCAACCTTGGAAAGTCGCTCATCCGTACTGTGCGGGTTGACTGTATGTTTCGGCTGTTATTTTATTCGACAAACATACGCGTCTCGGTTGCTTGCTGGATTCCGCAGAACACATGGCTAAAGGTTCACCTCGCGCATCGCAGCGCGTTCATGACACAACATGTTATGGACACCATCTGATTGGGTGGGCCACCTTTGCAACGGAGCTCGAGCTTCACTTCTCTTTGGGCTGGGCAAAACCAAATGACAAATAACTTTGACTGTGAATACGCAAATGTTTGCTCTGCCTGGCTCCAGAACGTGTCGAAAGACTTTTAGAATCGAACCTCGGCGGCTTCATATCCATGCCCCCACGGTCTATTCACAAAGGCGCGGTCCAGCGCAATCCTATGGACACGCTCCGCGCGGAACATCCCCTGCATCCGCCGGGATCGCGGTCGATGAGGCGGGAACGCGATTTTAGAAGCAATCGGAAGCTTCTAAAAAAGCTCGCTCCTTGGGAACAACAACCCTTCTGAGAAGCCCCTTGCTTCCGTAAATGCCGCCTCCCAGCATGCCCCCTTCCGCACGCCGTCGAATTCCACTGACGGCAGTCCTCCCTGAGAAGGCGCATCCCTTGCGGGGCCACCAGACTGGGCGCCCCAGGTTGCCAGCAACTCAGCTAGCTCTCAACAACTGGGCAACACTCTCTTCAACTTACCAACTTAGCAACGATGACATCTGCTATGAGTCCGACATCCGGGTTCTGCCTAATTATTCCTCATTCGATTTTTCGGAACTCGCGCGGCCTCCTGGGATCGAACAAGACGCTTCACGATCTCCGATCTATGCTTCCTCAGGTCGTTCGTTATCGCGACAGGATGCAAAGAGCAGGTTTCTGATACAGCTTCCCTGATCCACCTGGTAATCCTTCCTCTTCTCGATCCCCTTCATAAGGAGCCTCCTGGATGGGGTCGGAGTAGATGGCTTCGGAGGATCGCGCCGCATCGGCGATGCATAGGCGATGTATCGCCGATGCATTGGCGATGCACCGGTGACGTCGGCGATGCATCGGCGCAGTCGGCGTGTAGAAAATCAGGGTCCACATCGAGCCGCATCGCCGATTCATCGGCGATGCGGCGCAGTCATCCGACCTCAGCTGCCACGACCCCATCTGGGAGGCTTAGATTCATGATTTCTACCATCTCCCTCACTTCTTTCGTACAGGGCTTAACGACTTCTGCCGTTATTCAACTCGCGCTGGAACGGCAACGATTTCCTCGAAACTTTCCTGGAGATCTCTGGATTCCCTTGGATTTGCACGGACTTGCCCGCAATTGCCCAGATTTACCTCGATCTGTCTGCATCCACCCTGATTCAGCCGGCCTGACTCCCACAAAGCGAGTGGCGAAAAGTCGTCAAGCCCTTGGGGACCCCCCCTCCCCAAGATCGGGCCAGGCGAAAGGGGGGGATAGCAAAGGGGGGGTTTGAGAATCAGTTCGCGTAGCTGATTTTCCGGCGCCTCCCGGCTCTGGGAGGCGCCCATGTATCGAGGAATGGGCCGGGCGGCGGGGCCGAAACCAGCTGCATGCAGCAGATTTCATAACTCCCCCTTTCCCTCTCCCCCCCTTTCGTTCGGCCCGACAAGACGACATCATGCGGTGCCCGACCTCTGCAGCGGGGGATCTTCAAGAGTTCTGCGGGGCCCGCTGGCCAGCGTCAGGTCGGGCGTGTCTCCCTATAGGCGGAGTTTGGACGAGAACCGAAAAAATACCCAAAGATTATTCAAAGGTACTGAAAATAACCAAAATCAGACAATCGTCCCCACTCTATTTTTCTTTACTAATTCTGACTCTTCCTCATGTAGAAGGACAGGCCCGATTTTAGGCCACCGCCACGGCTCCCCGGGCAACGGGGACCCGAGGAAACCGTGCCTGGACCCCCCCTGGTGCCTCCGCGGGGATCGGCTCCGCATCCTTGGCACCCGTCGGCCGGAGGGATCGGGGATGAACAGAAAATCTCCTGTAGTGAACCGTGCTTTCGTGAAAGCGACCTCGGGACCGAACCTGGCGGGCGCAAGCCTGGAAAATGACGGCCGCGGCGCCCTCTCGAGGACCGAGAACGGACAATTCGCTAATCGTCGTGTCAGGGTGGGGGTGTTCTCCACCCCCGAAAAAAGTGGGCCGAAGCATGAAGCAGGAAGGCGTTGGAAGTATCGATGGGGCTCCTGCACGTTCGACTCTTGAAGTAATTAGGAAGGCTCCCATGAAGCAGATTGGGATCTGGGAATCCAAGAAAATCCTACTTTCAACGACTGGCGTGTAGCGCTTTGACGGTCCCGTGGCGCGGGCATCCCTTTCCATCATGACCTCTTCACTTAGGTCGGGCATGTCCTCCTACAGGCGGATGTTTTGAAGAACAACGAGAAAATAGTCAGACGTTGCCCAATAAGTGTCAAAACTAGTCAAACAATCGTCACCAGAATCAGAGTGAGGGGGCTGAACCGAACTGTCATTCAATGTCCCTGGGTGCGTGGCTGAAGTGGAATTCCGCGATGCGGATTCTTGTTGTGGTTGCTCTTGTTGTTGGTTGTTGTTGGTGGTGTTGTTGTTGTCGTTGTTGCTTGTTGGTGTTTGTTGTTTGTTGTTTGTTGTTGTTGTCGTCGTCCCACCCGCGACCCGCCCCGCGACCCACCAGCGACCCACCCCGAAACCCACCCGCGACCCACCCGCGACCCACCCCGCGACCCACCCGCGACCCACCCCGCGACCCACCCGCGCCCACCCCGCGACCTGCCCGCGACCCACCCCGAGGCCCCCCCGGCGAATCACCCGCGATCCAGCGGCGACCCACCGGCGACCCACCCGCGACCCACCCGGCGACCCACCCGCGACCCACCCGCGACCCATCTGCGACCCACCGCGACCCACCCGCGACCCACCCGCGACCCACCCCGCGACCCACCCAAAATGTTCGGCGCCAGCAGCGGGCTTTTTTTGCATTCGCTCCAGGTCGAGAAACTGCGATCCACCCGCGACCCAAACCGCGTTCAGTGTACAAATCAAAATGTTCGGCGACTGCGGCGGGCTGTTTTTTACTTCCTCCCAGTTGGAGGTGCAGAGCCCGTGACCCACCCGCGAGCCACACTACGTTCACTGAACAAGCCAAAACTCAAGCGCCTGCGGCGGGTTTCTTTCGGCGACCCACCCGCGACCCACCCGCGACCCACCCCGAGACCCACCCGCGACCCACCCCGCGACCCACCCGCGACCCACCCGCGACCCACCCGCAACCCACCGCGACCCACCCGCGACCCACCCGCGACCCACCCCGCGACCCACCCAAAATTTTCGGCGCCTGCGGCGGCCTTATTTTGCATTCGTTCCAGGTGGATAACCTGCGACCCACCCGCGACCCAAACCGCGTTCAGTGTACAAATCAAAATGTTCGCCGCCTGCGGCGGGCTGTTTTTGAGTTCTTCCAGGTGGAGGTGGAGAGCCCGCGACCCACCCGCGACCCAAACTACGTTCACTGAACAAGCCAAAACTTCGTAGGCCGAGGAAGAGGGCGAGGAAGAAAAGAAGGGGGGGACGGAGGGGGGGACGGAGGGGGACGACGAGAAAGGAGGGAGGAGGAGGGAGAGGAGGAGGAGGAGGAGGACGACGACGGAAAGGGGGAGGATCGGGATGGGGGAGGAGGAGGAGGAGAAGGAGGAGGAGGAAAGGAAGAAGAGGAGGAGCAGGTGGAGGAGGAGGAGGAGGAGGCGGACGACGACGACGACGACGACGACGACGACGACGAGGAGGAGGAGGAGGAGGAGGAGGAGGAGGAGGAGGAGGAGGGCGCCATGGACAGGGAAGGTGAGGGCCACGAAGTCCGCTGGCTCGACGCCCGCGTCGCCCGCGCCCGCCCCCTCACTCTTATCCGCAATTGCGGGGTGCTACGTATTTGTTGATTCATTTCGAATCTCCCTCCTGTAGATGAACACGCCCGACTCAACTCTTCGCCGAGAGGTCTGACGTGCCGTGCCGCGCTGTCCCCAGCGTGCGACTCGACGTAGAAGCCGTTCGTGATGTTCGTGAACAGCTGCGTCAGGATCTTGATATCCTCGGGGGAGGGGGGCCGATCATTGCACACCCGGGCCGAGGCTGACCGGGCCCGCCGTTGGCCTTGGATATCTTCTGGCTCAGGCTGGCCTGGCAAATGAGGCACATGCGCCGATCCCGGGGCCACGGAGGGCATGGCCTGGCGAGGTGCAAATGCAGACTGGCGTCGTCGGAAAGTCCAAACGATGTTCCTCAACCACTCCAAGGGTGGAACAAAAACAAAGCGGTGTGCCATACACTTTCGGAACTCCGCGTGGATCAATTGGATCGGCGATGGACACCGCTCCCTGGCGCGCGGAGCGCGCCAGGGGCGGCGCTGGAGGCGCCGCTAGGGGAGCCCAACGCCGATCCAAAAAATCCGCGCAAAACCCGGAGAGTTTATGGCTGTGCCGTTTCTTGCTCTTCGCATTCCAGCGGCAGAAGAAGAGGGATCTCACGTGTCAAGGCTTGGCGGCCTTTAGCGCGGTGGCTGATGCGGGGATGCGGCGCGCGTCGCGGATGGCAGGGCGCATCTGCGCGCGGGACCGTATGCGAACATGTTGCGCGCGACTGTCCGCCAGGTCGCCCATCTGTCTACTCAGGTATTTCTCCCGCGAGCTCATGAGGACCAGACTCGAAGCAGAGCGCCGACCTCGCAACATTATTGCTATCGAGCGCACCTCTCAACTGCCCACGGGGGGGTGTTCCCTGAGGAACCTACCAAGCCGAGACAAGCACTACGAAGATGATGTGGCCCACGCTGGGCCAGCGCCGCACTGAACCCCACCTGCGCGCTCCCGAAGCACCTACACAGGCATGCAGCAGCTTCCCAGTAGAGTTCTTCACCCGAGCAAGCGAGCGAGAGTGTGGCTGATCACCCCCCAGGTTAGAGGAACAAACAACTGCCTAAACAGAAACTTTGGGATCTCCGCGCGAATTTCTCGGATAGGCGCTGGGGCCCCCCTGGCGGCGCCTCTGGCGCCGCCCCTGGCGCGCTCCACGCGCCAGAAGGGGGATCCAGCGCCGACCCGAGAAATCCGCGCGGACCCCCGAAAGCTCATGGTTATGCCATTGCTTGTTGCCCGAGATCACTCCCAAGGCGGGCCTGCCGATGTACGCCCAGCAGTGAGCATACCCTTTCCAGGGCGCGCTGGCGCCACCATGCTTGCGCTGCCGCTCCCCCCATCTACGCGGGCGCTAGAGCAACCAATGTCGCATCGTGAGATCGGCTCGGGTCTGGACACGGCCTCGAACCGCATCGCATCGGCACGAAGCCGGACCCGAATCGAATCGGCCGCCCAAAAATTGGAAGAAGAACAACCGGCAGCACAATCAGAAACTTTTGGCGCTCCGCGCGGAAGGGGGCTTGGAAATTGCCCCCCCCCCCCCCCCCCCCCGGGCCCCGAAACAAAGGGGGATCCACCTTTTTTTCCGGGCCGGGGTCAGCCTGGGCTCCCCTTTCCAATGGGGGGCGGGGCTTCCGAAAGCTACTCCCCCTTCCGGTTGTTTGGATGTTGTAGCTGGAGTGTCCCTGCCCAAAGGGGGGTGGGGGCTTGGAATCTACCCCCCACCCTCCTTTTCGGGGCCCGGGATAAGCCTGGGCTTTCCTTTCCAGGGGGAGGGCTTCAGAAGCTTCCCCCCCCTCCCTTCCTTTGTGGTTTTCGGCGCCCCGTTGGTTTGCGGCGCTTGTAGTTTTCAATGTCTCTTTGGTTTTCGGCGCCTCTTTGGTTTTCGGCGCCCTTTCGGTTGTCGGCGCTCCTTTGGTTCTCGGCGCCCTTCTGGTTTCGGAGCCTCTTTGGTTTTCGGCGCTCTTTTGGTTTTTCGGCACCGTTTTAGTTTTCGGTGCCCTTCTGGTTTTCGACGCTCCTTTGATTTTCGCGAGTGGTTTGATTGTCGGTTCCTTCTTGGTGCTTGACGACCTTTTGGTTATCGGCGCTCTATTGATGTTCGGTGCCCCTTTAGTTTCTGGCGTCATTTTCAAGTTCGGCGGCCCTTTGGCTTTTGGCACCATTTCGGGTTTCGGTGGTTTTGGGTTTTCAGCGCCCTTTTGGTGTTCGGCGCTGCTCTGGTTTTCGGCGAACTTTTGGTTTTCGGCGTCTCTTTGGTTTTCGGCGCGCCACGCTGGTTTTCTGAGTTTGTTGCTCTTCGGTGCTCTTATGGTTTTCGGCGCTCCTTGGGTTTCCGGCCCTCTTTTGGTTGTCGGCGCGCTTGTGGTGTTCGGCGCCCCTTTGGTTTACGGCGTTCCTTTGGGTTTCGGTACTACTGTGGTTTTCGGGACATCTTTGGTTTTCGGCGCCTTTTTGGTTTTCGGTGCCCTTTCGGTTTTCGGCGTTTTGCTTGGCTTTCGTCGCTCTTTGGTTGTCGTACCTTTTTTTGCGGTGTTTTTTTGGTTTTCGGCGCTCTGTTGGTGCGCTCGTTAAGTCTTCGGCGCCCATTCCTTTAGCCAAGGGTGGGGGGGGTTCCACCACCCCCCTCTTCAGCCCCAAAAGAAGGGGGGGGGGGTTCCGGCCGGCAGGGGAGGTTCAGAGGGCGGGGGAGGTAGCTAAGCACCCCCCCTTGGAAACGGAGGGGGGGGTACCTTCCAGAGCGCATCGGGGGGGAAGGGAGGAGGTAGCTTCCGAGGGGCGGAGAAAAACATGGGAGGGGGGGGGTTTCCGGCGGGAGAGCTTCAAGGGGGGGGGGGGGGGGGGGGGGGGGGTGGGGGGGGGGGGGGGGGGGGGGCTGGCTAAGCCCCTCCCCCCTTTGGACAGGGAGGGGGGTAGCTTCTGGAGCGCGGGGGGGGGGGGGGGGGAAGGAGCAGCTTCCGAGGGGCGAGCAGCAGAGAAGGGGGGGGGGGGGGGGCGGGGGCTTCCGCAGGGCAGGTCCAAGGGAGGGGGGGGGCCAAGGGTGAATTCGGGCACGTCCCTCCACAGCAGGACTGTTCAAAAATCCGCCGACCCTGTCGGCGTGTGTGAGAGGCTTTTCCGTTCGACTCGTCGTCTCCGTCGTCTCCGTTTTCCCCCTTCCCAGGGCTCTCCTCCTCAAGCGCGCTATCCAAAACGAAATGAAACGACTTCGTAAGTGGGGTCGAAGGGAAGCCCCTTCCCTTTGATCCCTTCCCCGCAGGGGGTGGGGGTGGGGGAGGGGGGGGGAAGGGGGGGGGGCGGTGCAGATACGACGCCCGCCGGGGCGCACTTTCCTCGAGCGGGCACGCACGGGATGCACTTCCTCCTCCTCCTGGTCCTCCTCCTCCTCCTCCTCCTCCTCCTCCTCCTCCTCCTCCTCCTCCTGCTCCTCTCCTCCTTCTCCTCCTCCTCCTCCTCCTCCTCCTCCCTCCTCCTCCCGCAGAGGCGTCCCGGGAGCGGGCCCCGAGTCAAAATACCACCCCCCCCCTAGGGCGCATTTTCCTCGAGCGGGCACGCCCGAGATGCACTTCTTCCTCTTCCGGGAGCACGTCCCAAGTCAGAATATCACACTCCCGGGGCGCACTTTCTTCGAGCGGGCACACAAAGGATGCACTTCCTCCTCTCCTCCTCCTCCTCCTCCTCCTCCTCCTCCTCTTCCTCCTCCTCCTCCTCCTCCTCCTCCTCCTCCTCCTCCTCTGCTCCCTGCTCCTCCTGCTCCTGCTCCTGCTCCTGCTCCTGCTCCTGCTCCTGCTCCTGCTCCTCCTCCTCCTCCTCCTCCTCCTCCTCCTCCTCCTCCTCCGCTTCCCCCCCCGCTCCTAGCCCTTTCGATCTGGTCGGCGGCACCGGCCGTCAGGCCTCTCCAATAGCCAGTCATAGCCTCGGGGTGATTTTTAGAATATGTTGAGACCATTTGGGGGTATTCTTTGAATATATTTTTTATTTTCGTACGGTCAAACCTCCCTTTAGTAAAACGTGGTTTAGTGAAAACGACCTGAGGCCCTAACCTGGCGGGCGCAAGCCTGGAAAATAACGGCCGCGGCGCCCTCTCGAGAACCGAAAACGAACAATTCACTAATCGACGTGTCACTGTTGGGGGTTCTGTCCCGACGCAAGCCAAAAGGGGGGATCCCCCCCCCTCCCCATGGAGCGCGCCACGGGCGCTCTCTCTCTCATGCCGCGGCACGGAGGCGCGCGCCCGCCTGCGGAAGAGGGGGCGCGCCTCCCCGGAAGTGGTCCCGGGAGGCGCCGTAGGGGCGATGTCCCGCCAGCCCTCTGGGCGTGGGTGGTTTGGAGAGTCTCCTCTTCCACCCCCTCCCTCTTCCCCTTCGGGGAGGGGCTTGCCCCTCCCCCTGCCGCCTCCCCTGGACCTGGACGGGGGGCGCCGCGAGCGGTCAGGCGTCCAAGATGGCCCAGGACGGCTCCAAGAGCGCCTCGGAGAGTCCAAAGCGAACGGCGACATTGCGAGGATGTCTCTGGCGAAGGCGCCGGATTGGGACCCGCCCGGCACACCTCCGGAGATGATTCCGAGGGAGGTCTGGGGGCGATTGTGCGAGGATGCCTCGAGCGAGACCGCTGGATCGGGATTCGCTCAGCGCATCCGGCGCAATCCCAGGAAAGGTTGGTGGGCCCATGTCCTCGCGCGCCAGGGGTCGGGATGACGTGAGTTCCATAGAAACTCCTTCAAGTTAGCATCGGCGGCGACCGAGGGGCGGAAGTGAGAAGGAGACGGCCTTCTCAGAAGCCCACGCGCTGCGTCTTCGGGGAAGGCTTAGAAACTCCTCACAGGCCAGGGGACTTCGAGTCTTCTGGGAAGGCCCGCCCCTGCTCATTTCCCCTCGGGTTCGCCGCCGACAGCCAGCGGTTGAAGAAAGGGGGGGAGTACGAGTAAGGCATAGTTTGTCTGGTTGCGCCCGTGAGAAGGGGTCAGTCAGGGGCCTCGACCGACGGAGGGGCGACAGGTCAGACTGCTGCCCGAGACGCCAAGATGGGAGGGCGGGGTCGAGGGCCAACTGTTCAACGCGCTCGGGGGCGACGATTCTGCGCGGAAACGCCCGCCTCCCAGACCCCCTCGAGTCATGAACAAAATCACGACGGGAGGTGTTTCGCTATTTTCGGTATCTGGGGGCCCTTACCGGCCCT